ACTACAATACTCAATATATCTCTGTCATTATCTGGGACCAGCCTGCCGCCGTTCTGCTTAGTCGCTCCGCCTTGTTGCCTTGTTCAGTTGCTCCGCCTCGCCGTTCTGCTTAGTCGCTCCGCTTTCCCGCTCCGTTAGTCACTCCGCCTCTGCCGCTTCGTGACAGAATCCGTAATCAACTCGCGAACACATTCTGCATTAGGCATGTCCCCATTCGAGCTAACCTACGGATATCTCCCCTTGTTCAACATCCCAGTTGGACAACACAGCGGGATCCCAGCTGTAGATGACTGCATATGGATACTTCGAGAAGCTCGACAGGACGCAGGGGCCGCCTTGCACTTAGGGAAAAAGCAACAGAAAGAGGGATACGAACGAGGAAAACGGAAAGCTCACCAGTTCAAAGTCGGAAATTTTGTCTGGCTCAGTGCGGAAGACATCAACCTCCAACTGTCCAGTGAAAAGCTAGGAGATCGGCAGCTCGGACCCTACCAAATCTTGGAGAAGATTGGACCCCTGGACTACCGCCTTGACCTCCCTATCTCCCTTGACCGCATTCATCCTGTGTTCCATGTTGACAAACTCTACCCCTGGAAAGGTAACGCTATCAATGGAGAAATACCACCACCACCAGAGCCGGTCTACCTAGAGGATGAAGACAAACCGGAATATGAAGTAGAGGAAATCCTGGATAGTCGGGTCCGGTGGAAGAGGTTGGAATACCTGGTTAAGTGGAAGGGTTATGACGCAGGGCATAACTCCTGGGAGCCAGCGCCCAACCTCAGCTGGGCACCAAAAATTGTTTGTGCCTTCCACCAGAAACACCCCACAGCAGCAAAAGCTTGACCATCGAGGGCAATGGTCATAAGAAGGGGGTAATGTCATGAAGTACGTAGCCCCTATCATTTTCCTTTTCTCACCGTCTCGACGCCCTTACTTGTACGATTACATCACTGTCAAATCCCATTGATTACTGATCCACCTGTTACCCTTCTCCTTCTACTGGCTTCCACCAACTTCCTTGTTCCTAAACTGTACAGTATTACATCGTCATTTCTTGCAGATCGGATTATGTATATAAAGCCAATCCCTCACAGCCTGGTCCCTTATCTTGACCTCTCTGTCATTATCTGGGACCAGGTATGTGCTTACTTATTGTTACCTATGACTACGATACTCAATATATCTCTGTCATTATCTGGGACCAGTTTGCCTCCGCTCCGCTTAAGTCGCTCCGCCTCATCGCCTTGCTTAGTCACTCCGCTTCCCTGCTCCGCTAGTCACTCCGCCTCTGCCGCTTCGTGACACTCTGGCTCATTTCCTTCCAATTTCTGTAACATTGTTTTATTGGACGAGTACACTGTCGGCCAAGGCATCTCTTACGAGTCCCGGATGGGTACAAATCTCGAATACATATCTTGTTTCAAATTCATTATCTTTGCGTTTCCGATGACTGTTTTATCCCTTGACGAAACAGCAAGTAGATCTTGCTGGATATTTATTTATATACAGAGATTGTCAATGAACACCCTCAGCTTTCCTTATCACGCTGAGGGTGAGTTACTATATTTTGTTTCGTTCGATACTTATTGTTACTCATTATAACTTCAGTTTGAACTTATTATATTTTGATAGGTAGACAATACACGAGCTTCCCTTATCACGCTGAGGTTCGAACTTATTATATTTTGATATGTTTCACTTGTTCCCCACCTCCTCATATCTGTGTATCTGGAGTTTTTTGTTTTTCCTGGAATTATTGTTAATGGAATCACTAACTAACCTCATGCTTTCATTTCCAGGCTTTCCCCAATATCCCCAGATCGCAGGCCACATGTTGTACCACGTCTACATGCCTGTCATCCTTGAAGAGCTAGGGTTCAAAGTCACAGAAAGGTGGTTCGACGAGGTCGAGGTGAGCATTTGACCCCCGTTCTCTTCGATTGATTTACTGAGTGACTGATGTATATTGTGCCTTCTTCCCGTTCTCTTCCTTCTCTTTGAACCCAGGAACCAGACTTCAAAGGAAATCATCGCTGACCCCACATCAGTTGCGGAAGCAATGCAACGTCCTGATTGGTCTCAATGGCAGGAAGCCATGAATGAGGAAATCTGAAGATTACAACAGTGAGGGACATATGATATTGTCATTCCACCTGATGATGCCAACATCCTTACATCAAAATGGGTATTCAGGACCAAGCGAGATGAACAAGGAAAAGTCACAGGCCACAGAGCCAGACTAGTGGTATGAGGTTTTAACCAGATACCAGATGTTGACTTCTTCCCAGATGAAATGTTCACATTGGTTACAAAGCTAGCAGCAGCTCGAGCCATCCTCAGCACAGGAGCTGAACAGAACATGTTCATTCACCAGATGGATGTCAAATCGGCATATCTATATGAAAAACTGGACGACAATGAACAAATCTACATGAAGGCACCACCAGGTGTTGACATTGAAGTTAAAGCAGGACAAGTGCTTAAACTCAAGCTCGCCCTCTGTAAGACCTGGGTCAAAATAGGTCTTAGGGTAGGTTTTGGTATATGGAGTTTATGTTGTAGCGTGCTATGAGCAGGCTGGAGCTCGAAGGGAACTACGGGAACTGCGACCAAGGACAGGAATGACCTAGTAGTGGATGGGATAGAGAGATGTGACCCTTGAGGAGGTTCCTATAAGGTCCAGAGAGGTCCCTAAAGCATAGGTAAGGGAGGTGGAAGTACGGAACCTAGTAGTGTTGCGTAGTAGGAACTGTACTTGCTAGAACATCAACGTAGGATCAAATAGATCGTAGTGGAAGTGGGTCTTGAGTGTATAAGCTCCTGAGAAGATATACGCCCAGGAAGTGAGGTCCTGGGAACTGGGGCTCAGGGGTGGATGTCCTCGAGTGTTGGAGGTTGTAACGGAGAAGCGGCATGTAGTTCGACGTTACCTAGATCGAGGTCCCAGAGCTTGTGGAGCAATTGGGGAATCAGATTGCTTAGACGTGAAGTAAAAGTGTATATTGGATTGTATAGATGATCGTAGAGACAAGAGACAAGAGTAGAGAGAAACTGATATAGAGAAACAGAGAGTAAAGAGAAATCTGTATGGTTAGCAGGTACAAAGGGACAGGGACTGGACCTATGCAAAAGGGTATACCAAGCTGGGGCTTGGGGATGTTGCGGAACTACTTAAATAGGTACAGGAAGTGAACAAAGGAACATCAGGGGATCTAGTGAACATGAGGCGGTAATCGAGATTGATACTTAATGGAGTTGCTTGTAGGGGGTCCTGCATGCGTGCCGGGGGAGGTACGCGTGTCGGGGAAGTCGTCAGGCGCTCGGGTAATGGGAAGCTGTCTTGGGGGTTTACGGAGCTAGGTAATACGTGTGGGAGCTTCTGGTTGATGCTGGGACAGGTCTGGTGGTGGTCAGGGCATGACAGGGTGAAGGACATTTGGGTAGGTATATCAGGAGATGACATTTGGGGAGGTGCATGGTGGTACTTGGGGAGGTGCAGAGGAGGTGCAGGAGGTGGATAGGATGTGTGACAATGTGTGGCGGGTACTGGGACTGGTTGTAGGCAGGGCATGACACCCTCCATGGACTTAAACAAGCCGGTCGCTGTTGGTACATGAGATTCAGGGAGATCATGACATCAGTCAGTGTCAAATCCATACCTCAGTGCCCCATTCCGCCACTCGGTATTCCAAGATCTACCTTTTATTGTAATCTCTTCCTTATTGTTCTTTCTTGTTACACATACCCTTTTATTCTAGGCTCTCCTTATTGTCTTTTACTCTACACTGCAGGTACTACACGTATAGCTCCTAGTAGTTAGCCTAGTGCTTCGCACTGATGCACCGATCTGTAGATATAAATACTGCCTGTACCCTACTGTAGTTCCTCAGTTTAATTATCAACTTAGATTCCCTTTCCAACTTAGTTCTCCTCTAAGTCTTCAGGCTCATCACCTCGAAATACTCTCTACTCTAACCTTAGGACTTTTAAGTTCTTTGGTTCACTTCTTGTCACCGGTGATACCGCCGCTCTGACTTGGCTGCTACTGGCTCCTCTCTCCTATACTCTCAATCTCCGGGGACTAGCGGCGTAACGGCGGTGTTGTTAATAACTTCACCACTGTCCCATTCGACCTTCCGCCCTCTGGCACGGTTACACAGTGTACATGATCTTAACAGTCGGTCTCACCAGGTCAGATTTTGATCATGCCGTATTCTATTGAACTGACCCTTTTTGTATCATATTCATCCATGTCGATGATATGACTATGCTTACCAGGACCATGGCTGTAATGGACACTCTAAAGAAGAAGATCAGGGACCAGATCGAAGTCATCGATTCTGGAGAAATCCACTGGTTACTAGGGATTGAGATCTGCCGATCTCTACATACACGGTCCATTCACTTATCCCAAAGGGCATATATTGATGTGATCCTATCTCGATATGGATTTGAAGATGTCAAACCCCTTTCCATCCCATTCGATCCACACATACATCTTACCAAGGACCAGATGCCAACTACCATCAAGGATATCACACACATATGGGACAAGCCCTACAGAGAAGCTGTTGGCACCCTACAATACTTATCAGTAGCAACTCTACTCCTTTATCGTCTGATCTGTGTGATCAGCTACAGTGCTGTGTGCACTCTATCTCTTACTGCCATTGCTGCTGAATATAACGTGACTATATTCTAACATTTTCAATTTCATATTTGAACCTGAAAAAAATTCAATTTGTATGAATTCCTTGCAAGTTCAAGTTTTCAGAAAAAGAAGAATTGAAAAATAAATCATGAGCTCAATGTATTGTGTACATAAATGTTACAAACAGTCAAAAGTATCAAGAGTAACACAAATGGCAAACATGTAAACAAAGTAAAACAAAAATTGAAAAAGGGACATAAGAAGAAGAGGATTTATTTATAAGTAGTGAAAATATCAATTACAAAGATGTTGGACAATTCAAAATATGAGGAGGTTTCTTGGTTAGTCAATGGAGTGCACCATTTTGCAGCAGTAATTGCACAATGTTCTCATCGCCCTGGATTGAGGCTGCCTGGAGAGCATTCCCATATTCTCTGCCTTGTGTATCGACATCAGCACTATTTTCCAGCAGCAACTTTACAATGGACTCATTCCCATTCAATGAGGCTGCTTGGAGAGCATTCCCCAAGTATCCCCCTTGCATATTGATGTCAGCATCATTTTCCAGCAGCAACTTTACAATGGACTCATTGCCATTATATGAGGCTGCCTGCAGAGCATTCCCATAGTATCCCCCTTGTGCATTCACATCCGCATCATGTTCCAGCAGCAACTTCACAATGGACTCATGCCCATTCAATGAGGCTGCCTGGAGTGCATTCCCATATTCCCCCCCTTGTGCATTGACAGCAGCATTATTTTCCAACAACAACTTCACAATCAACTCATACCCCTTTACAGAGGCTGCTTGAAGCGCATTCCCATAGTATCCCCCTTGTGCATTCACATCTGCATTATGTTCCAGCAGCAACTTCACAATGAACTCATCCCCAGTAAATGAGGCTGCCTGGAGAGCATTTCCACCATAATTCCCTTGGGCATTAACATCAGCATTATGTTCCAGCAGCAACTTCACAATGTTCACATGGCCCATATATGAGGCTGCATGGAGAGCAATCCCATATTCACCACCTTGTGAATTAACATCAGCATTATTTTCCAGCAGCAACTTCACAATGGACTCATACCCATTTGAGGAGGCTGTCAGGAGAGCATGCCCATATCCTCCCCCTTGTGCATTGACATTAGCATTGTTTTCCAGGAGCAATTGCACAAGGGATTCATGCCCCTTACATGAGGCTGCATACAGAGCAGTCCCATATTCCCCCCCTTGTGCATTAACATCAGCATTATTTTCCAGCAGCCATCTCACAATGAACACATGGTCCATACATGAGGCTGCCTGGAGAGCATTTCCATAGGACCCCCCTTGGGCATTAACATCAGCATCATTTTCCATCAGCAGCTTTACAATGACATTGTGGCCTGTATATGAGGCTGCCTGGAGAGCATTCCCATAGTACCCCCCTTGTGCATTAACATCAGCATCATTTTCCAGCAGCAACTTCACAATGGACTCATGGTCCATACATGAGGCTGCCTGGAGAGCATTTCCATAGGACCCCCCTTGTGCATTAACATCAGCATTACTTCCCAGCAGCAACTTCACAATAGACTCATTCCCCTTTAAGGAGGCTGCCTGCAGAGCATTTCCAAAGAGCCCCCCTTGTGCATTAACATCAGCATTGTTTTCCAGTAACAACTTCACAATAGACTCATTCCCCTTTAAGGAGGCTGCCTGCAGAGCATTCTCATAGTATCCCCCTTGTGCATTCACATCTGCATTATGTTCCAGCAGCAACTTCACAATGAACTCATCCCCATTAAATGAGGCTGCCTGGAGAGCATTCCCATAGTATTCTCCTTGTACATTAGCATCAGCATTATTTTGCAGCAGCAACTCCACAATGAACTCATGCCCATTATATGAAGCTAAATAGAGTGCATTTCCAAAGTGCCCCCTTTGTGCATTCACATCCACATGATTTTCCAGCAACAACTTCACAGTGGACTTATGCCCCTTGAAGGAGGCTGCCTGGAGAGCAATTTCTGATGCATTAACATATTTCTTCAGGTTATGAGCACTTTGTATGAGATGACTCACAGCCCCATACAATCCATTGAGGGCTCCATAGTATAATGGGCCTACTGTACAATCTGTCATAAAAGTAATATGCTCATTGTACATTTCTTCCCATTTTGAAAACTGTACATTGTCTTCCAAAATTGCACATATCAGATTCTGACTTTGGCCTTCTACTTTAAACTCCTCCACCTTTGATGCATGTGAGAGCCAATACTCTACTGCATAAGCCACCAAACCCTCCCTATCAAATGAAGCCTTCTGATGTTGCATGAGGTAAATGATAGTTGTTTGAGTCATTATATCATGTGCTAAGTGTTCATTGATTGACAATGAATCACTCATCTCTTTGGATTCCCAATATGAAATGAGATATTCCTTGACTGATGCATGGGCTAGTTGAATGATATCATCCTGTCCTACAGTCACAAATGCAGAGGGAATAACCTCCTCCACCTGAAGGTCCATTTCATCTGGATCAAACTTCTGCTCCAAGAGGTCAATTTTCCATATTTCATTGGCTTTTCTCCTGGTCAATGGCTCAAAAGCATAAAGAAGCCACAGAAGTAGATGTTGTACGTCTTTTTTTTCTTCTTCTGTCAACCTTCCCAAAGCCTGGTCATATGTTTCTGTAAGAGTCGCAGGTAATGTCTTCAAAGCTTCTTTTACATCCCTCTTCCTCCTGCATTTCTGCAACTCCATCATTTGGCAGTCAACCCAGCGAAATCTAAAACATTGTTTCAAGTCAGCTGATTCTTAAGTTGATTCTCCACAAATACTACTCACATTCCTTGAGCACCTTTGTTCAATGTATCCTTTATTTCTCCAATAATGTCACCTTTGAACTGTGGTTGATCACGAATCTTGAGCTCAATGTAACTTGCAATATCCTCATCAATTCTTGACTTTGAACTACCAAGTTGAATTTGAAGCAGATTTTGTACAACCAATTTTGGTTTCAGTCTGCTTGTCACAACAATCTGCAACTGATTTGAGGATGCAGCCAGCCAATTTAACACCTTGTCTGCATCTGCCTTTTGGCATTCATCCAATGCATCAACAGCAATGGTCATATCATTTCTGTCTTTGATCATTGTTTCCAATATGTTCTCAAGTTCCTGCTTTGTGAGTTGCCCAAATGGCTTTGACTTGTGAAGGGTGTTGAGAGCAGGATGGATGCTCTCACTTGATAGTCCCATTTGCTGAACCAAAGACAACAAGAACCCCTTATATGTGGTCTTTGACTCTGTGTTATCCCGGGTATCAAAATAATGATACCAGATAGGACTTCTTTGGTTCATCTTTTCCAGGTGTTGAATGATTGTTGTGCTAGAATGTCTTGATTTAATGAAAGTGAGCTGTGATTATTGTCATCACATACAGTAGAAAGGTCTTTCCTGACCCAACTATAGTTTCTGATAGGTTAAGACATTCCTTCCTTCAAGTGAATAATCAAACCTGGTCCTTGAATCCACAGAATGCCATGGTTAGATCCCCATTCCTTGTATGCATCAAGTTCAAATATCCATTGGCCAGTGCCTGAGCATCTGTTGTCTGCTGCAGTCACAAAATTGGCTGAACAATCTGGTGCATTGAGCCATTTGTGTATCTTATGGCTATCATCATTTGCTAAAGGATATAATGTATTCAGTTCCAAGCAATATGTATACAGTTGTTATAACTGACTGATGACAGTAAAATTTCCGCCATAAATGGCAAAATCACTTGCATAGGGAAACATGCTGTGAATGTGAATTGGGTTGTTAGTTATAGTAAGTGAAGAGTGTATTGAGATAACTATACCCAGCACTCATTGTTTAGGTAGTTCTTTGATTACCTGGAAGAAAGACATAAGGTCAAAAAATTCAAGACTGGACAAATTGAACATACTGACTGTTAGTGAGCTCTTGCAATGAACAATGGTGGTAGAAAAGCAAGAAGGAATGATGGGCTTCATTGAATCACTGTCATCTTTTATAATCTCTGAAATTAAAGTTTGATTGTCATTGAAAATGCAGAAATGTCATTGGGTCATGCAACGTGTCCCGGCCATGATTCTGGGTACTGGTAGCTATATAGGGATATACTTCCCTGAAGTGCTTTCCTATGTGTCTTTTACCAGTCTCGATTGATGCCTAGAAGCACACAGTAGCCGTGGAGGATTGATTATTAATTCTTCACCTGTAACTAGTATAATACCCCCCCCCCCCCCAATCCCATGCCAGTCTGGTTCAGAGCTGATGCCTTGGAAAGCTGACACAACAATGAATTATTCCCCTATTTTGGCTGAAAGTAAGGGCGATTATCCACCAGGCTAGTCAATCATCTGCAAAACCTGGATATTTGGCTAAGGGTCCGAAACAGTTGAGAGCACTTCCCAGCAGTGAAAGCACTCAAAGCATACTGCTTTCAGTGCTTTCAGCACTGGGATCTGCTGGGATCTGCTCTCGGTGCTTAGCCGAATATCCAGGTTTTGCAGATGATGTAAAGCTTCTTAGTGAAAAAACGGGTAACAACGGGGGTACCCGGGCCCTAATCCGGCATATATGGCCGATGAAGTGCTTATTGCGAGCGAAGCGAAGCAATACTGGCTAGAGGGCTGAACCGGGAAGTAAACAAATACAAATTGTTGTCGCGCAAACTCCCACGGAGTCGGAATACCCGCGGATGTGTACGGATGAGCGGATGCTGGGGCGGGGAGCTGTTCCTTTTTAAGTAGTAGTGCTCTGTAGCCCCGTAACAAAAACAATCATTTAATTAATCATGATCAAACATAGTACGGAGGTGCGCCAGCACCGACCAAGACTATTGGATCTAGCACTTCGAAGCGAGCACCCCATGTGATCCGTATTTGGATCGGAGGGGCCGAAGGCCCCCTCCGAGCCGGACGAAGGAGGCTCACATGCGAATGCATGTTATATTATTGGCCTAGTGCTCAATCATCGCAATGTTTTGTGTTTCTCTCCCGTCTCCATTCTTTAGAGTGGCGGACATTGGTTTCCATTTGCTTGCTTGCATCCGGATTGGCATTCAATATCCCCAGCAGCCATGTTAACAATACAAGTGGCGTGGCTCAGTTATCCTGAGCTCAGCTCCTCTTCGACAACTATGATTATCAATGGCGGTGGACCCAGTGGTGTATTTAAAATACACTCACCCTCGTTACTTCCTTCCAATTCCCTACTCCATCACCAGAACTATCCACCATCTGCAATTCCGCACTGTTCATCCCGTTCCTCTGCGCATGGGGACTCCAATTCGCACATCAAGTCGGGAGAATGAATATTAGCCCATCTCACGAAAGGGTCGTTCCCTGTATGGGACTGGTTATAGGTCCCGAGTTTCGTTAGAGCTGTAGATGTGAATTTTTTGCCTAGGATTGCTGGATCGTGAGTTTCGAAGTTCTTTTTCTGCAATTACTTAGCTACTTACTCATTATCTTGTCGTTATTAGATCCCTGATAAGCCAATCATCGCTCCTCCTTACCACTCACTACGTCTACACCTTCCTAATATCCTTCATCGCCTAGGCGCGAATTTTGCGTTCTCGTAATCAACGAAATCATGAGCTTTATGGGAATTGCGAGTTCCACGGTTCAGAAGAAGGATGAAGAGGGGCATCGGAGGAATGTTACAGGAGAGGCTCCGGGTGCAGTTGAGGTAGAGGAAGAGACGTGAGGAGGAGGTCGCTTTACCTGTGATCCTAGCGGCGATCACTGCTGCTCCAGCCGACCCAGCAAGAAACCTTGATATCCCGATGAGTCCGACAGTGCTAAACGCAGTCCTCAGCCCTACATTGATGACTGGAGCCAACAACCCCGCGCTGAGACCAATGAATAGTCCTCCTCCAAGGGTAGCGAGTCCAAGGAGTTCGATACGTCGATTACAGAGACGATCAACTTGGTTCTCTACGGCACTTTCGTTTTTCTGGAGTCCGCCCTCTGTATCACCCCCGGTTCCACCAATGCCTTCACCTGCGCCAATGGCTTCAACGATACAGCCTTCGAAAACGACAATGCCCACCAGGAGAGGGAGAGGTGGGACCCGAGGCGGAAGAGGAGAGATCGCGAATGGGAGTCATACACGGAGTCGGCAATGAGGACGAGGAAGAGGACGGTAAGGAGGGTGTATTGCATATCCAACGTGATACATTTAGGGATAGCCAGATCCTCACGTATCGAAGAATCCCCAGTGTGCATACTACTCCATTCTGGGTTCACGACCTCTTTCATCTCCACCAACGGGGGTACCGAATCCCTCGGACGCACTCCATGCATCCACAACGGCTCAATCATTCTCTGTTATGATCATGGAACAAATACCGCGACGTTCCCTTGGATTAGAGGGGGTCCAATCGTCCAATGCATCAGCGCCGTAGCTTTCCTCTGAAGCGTATGGGAAGTATTGAGGGAACTCTTCCCAGTAGTGGCGGAGACAGGTCCGTGGTGAACGAATGTTGCGTCATCCACAGGTTCTTCGTCGTAGACTGCATCGGATTACGATACCCGTATTCATCTGTTTCCAACCTGCCATCCATTGTCGTCGTCGGAATCCCAGATGTCGGAGGAGGAAGGAGGGAATTTGTCGTTTAGGGAGGAGGGGGAGGCGCTGGATGAGCGTCGAGGACGAGGAGTGTGTGGAGGCGGTGGAGGAGGAAGAGAAGGAGGGGAGAGTGGTGGTGTATGATTTGGAGGTGGTAGAGAAACTTTGAGTATTCGACATCCCAAATAACCGGAATCCTTCGGAAGATTGCCTTATTTCTGTTATATTCGTGGTTTCCTTCTACGTTCGTTGTAACGTCGTCCTACGTACATTGTACGTTCAACACCCCAAAACTATTAGCAACAGTGTTAACAACGTTAACACCTCAAATGCCCCAGACCGTTGTTCGTTTGACTGCGGTGTCGTCGTTGATGTTGATGTTGGTATTGCTCCAGCCGGTTTTGCGTGAGCCCAAGTAACGTTGTGTGCCCATGTAATGGGCAGGTAGCGGTGTATGCACAGGTAAAATTACATAGAACATGATGGATGTAAGGAAGAGAAAATCGATGACTGAGCGCTAATTGCATGATTGCAATTGTTATCGTTTCCTTTCATTTCCACCCAGCATCACCAGTCGAGACTCCCCATTCATTCTCCATCACGAGTCTCTAGCTCATCTCCTTGGTTCTAACGAAACTTGTAATCGACAATCCCTGGTCCAACGCCCTCGACCGTGTGCCCGTGCAGCAGGTCTCGTCCTCGCCTCCGTTCTGCGCTCAAGACAACCCGGTGTCCGACCAATCACCCTCATCGGGTCCAGCCTCGGAGCAAGAGTTATCTTTTATGCCTTGGTGGAGTTGGCGAAGAGTGGGGGGTATGGTGCGTTGTTCCTTCGTCTCCTTCTTCTTCTTCATCCTACTCTTCGTCTTCCTCTTTGTCAGTCCCCTTCTTCGGCTAACGATCCCTCTCCTCCCCTCCAGGCATAGTTCAAGACATCTTCCTCCTCGGCGCCACCCTCAGCGTCAGCACCTCCCTCTGGGAACAGACATGCTCAGTCGTGGGGGGGGAGATATGTGAATGCGTATGCACGCAATGATTGGGTGTTGAATTATTTGCTTAGGGCGAGTAGGGCTGCTACTGGTGAGTGATGATTGCGTTTATTCATTGAATTCATTCCTCATTCCCCTCCCCTTCTCATCGTCCCTTCCCGCCTCGCTTTTCTTATCCTTCCTCTCCTTCTCGTTCTGATTCATTCTAATTCTCGTTCCAATTCGTTCTGATTCGCTCTGATTCGTTCTCTTCGTTCATCCTCGTTTTTGTTCTAATTCTCCTTCTGATTCCTCCTTCATTCCTGTCCTTGTTCTGATCCCTCGATCATCAGGCAACGTAAACACCGTCGCAAGTCTCCGCCCCATCGAGGGCATGCAGGGGCTGGAGAATGTCGATGTTATTGATAAGGTGATGTGGTTTTCTTTGTGTTTGTGTTTGTGGTTTGAGTTTGTGGGGTTTGAGTGGTTGGTTTGGGTTGGGGTGGTTTGGGTGGATTTCGACTTGTTTAATTCGACTCATTTCCTTCTCTCACTCGTAACACCCCCGAGTTGTTCGTGGATTTCGTTCGTTTCCGAGTTCGTTTCCTGGGTTCCTTCTTTGTTCGTTCGTTTCCTCCTCTATTATTATGTTATGTTATGTTATTTGCTACTGGGGGTTGTATCATCATTCTTTCGTATCATTCATTTCGTTTCCTAAATCCGTTTCCAAGTTTCGTTTCTCAAGTTCGTTTCCGAGTTTGTTTGCTACTACAAATTCGTTTCGCTAATTCCCGTTTCGTTTCCGACTTTACATTCATTTTGCCTAACTAGCTTTTGTTTTGCTGATTCCATTATTCCGTTATTCGTTGATTCTCTCTACATTTACCTTATTCCCTTTCTTTGAAGGTGGCTCGTTCCCTTCCTTTCTTTTTCACTTTTTTCCTTCCTTCCTTGTTGGTTGCCTCTACGTTTCACCAACGACTTGTTTCCTTCCTTTACCTTTCACCCCCCAACTCGTTCACCCCCGACTCGCTTCCGACTCGCTTCCTTCCGATTTGTTTCACCTCCGACTCGTTTCCTTCCAATTTCCTAACTTCGTTTCACTTGATTCTTGTTCTCTTTTGACTCGTTCCCTCCCTCGTAACACCCCCGACTTGTCTTCCTCCAACTCCTTTCCTTTCCTTCCGACTCATTCTACACCTTATGTATCCATGTATCCAGAGTTTGTTTTTTCTGAAATCACTGATAACGGGATTGCTAACTGACGTGTTACTCTTTCTCCTCCTCCTCCTCCTCCCTCTTTCTCCCTATTCCTCCCTCCTCCGTTAGATCCACTCTCACTCATTCACTCATTCATCCACTCCCTCATGCTTCCCATTCCCCTCCCTTCCACGCAGATCGCAGGCAACATGTCATACTGCATCTACATGCCCGTCATCCTCAAATAGCTCGGGTTCAAAGTCACAGAAAGGTGGTTCGAACGAATTTGTTTTTCTGTGATTACTCAGTTGCCTACTTGTTATATTGTCATTATCAGATTCCCGATAATCCACTTAACACCCTCCTCACCACTCTCTACATCTACACCACCTTCGTCATTTCCTTCCTTGCCTACGCGCGGGTTTTGCGTTCTCATGATCCACGATATCCGAGGCTTTATGGGTATTGTGTGTTTCACTGTTCGGAAGAAGGATAAGGAGGGACATTAAAGGAACGTTACTGGAAGGCTCCGGGTGTGGTTGAGGTAGAGAAAGGGAAGGGGAAGTGAGTTAGTGAGAAGGTTGCTTTACCCACGATTCCAGCACCAGTCAACACACTCCCAGCCGACCCAGCAAGGAACGTCGATAGGGTGAGTCCGATAGTGCTAAACACCGTTCCCAGACTTACACCAATGACGGGCACCAGCAACCCGGTGCTTGTACTGATGACGAGCCCTCCTCCCAAGGGTAGCGAGTCCGAGGAGCGCGATACGCCAATTTCAAAGTCGTCGGACTTGGTCTGCAGATATCAGGTACTCATCCTCAGTACTGCGCTTACACGGAATAAGAGAGAGTGGGAACAGGAACCACAGACAGAACCGGGGATGAGATGAGGAAGAGATTGGTGAGGAGGGTTGGGTGTATTGCATGTCAAGCTGCTGAGGGTGATGTTTTTGGAGAACTGTGAGGTCCGAAGTTAAAGGAGGAGAAGGAGGACGGATCGTCCAACGCATCAGCACCATAACTTTCTTCTAAAGCATAGTGGTATTGGAAGAGATCCCGCGAAGTGTTGAGGGAATTCTTCCCAGTAGTCCTCGACGTGCTGTAGACGGGTGTATTCAGTGGTGAACGAATGTTGCGTCGATGAGGGGGTCTTGGATTGCATGGAGTTATACCTTCCATCGATACCTGGATTCGGCTGTATCCAACGTCGTCGTACCTGTAGCGTTCCCTCCTCCTCCCACTCCTCCTTTGCTCCCCAGTTTACTACTCCCAGCCTCCTCATTAACCCAATAATGATATATTCTCCGGTCCTCGTCGTCCAACCCTCCTCTCAGCTGGTCCGTATGCACAATCGGCATATCCTGCCAGCCATCGCTGTCATTGTCGTTGTCTTCCGAGTCCCACGTATCCCAAGACGAGGGAGGGAATTTGTCAATCGGACTCGAGGAAGAAGAAATGTGAGTGGGGAGTGGGAGAAACACGGTGATTATTTGACATTCCAGAACCTGGATTTCTGAACCTAGATTTCTTCACTTGTGTTACTTGACTGCAAGCCGGTCTTATATACTCTCCACCTTGATATGGAACGGAGAGAAAAAATCGATGACAGAGCGCTTATTCTATAATTCCGTAATTTCATAAGCGCTCTTGCTGTTGTGTCCCGGATTCCCCGAGACCCCCGAACTTTCTTGAACAAGTATCACATACTCGCCCAACTTCCTCTCGCCCAGTCAATCGTAGAGTGCATGGGTATATCGCAGACGTTAAGAGATTGACACATTTCCGGGAGAATTTTGGAGGAACTAGAACCAAAACCGTGATGGATTTGTCAGTGCACTGCACATGAACAATGCCCTTGCTAGCGATGCGTTCCCTCCTTTCCCCCCTACTCCCTACTCTCTGTTTTCGCTCAATTGCTCAATCTAGTGCCCTTGTACCATCCACCACTCATCGCGCAACTTCAGAGTCCTTAGTAGACGCACCGTCAACTCGGTCTTCTGAATCTTTATTTTCAACAATGCTTATTATTACACTCACCACCGAGGCCTGAAGCGTGAGGCCCGACACTGGAGTCTAGAACTGGAACCACTATAATCAATCATTCTCTGCAGTCCCCAATGCAGATCAGTTTTCGGGACCAGGATACTGACGCTGCATAGTGCTGCATCCACACACTCCGAGTTCCGTCTCGTCTCGTCCCGTCTCGTTTCGTCTCACTCACCCACTCACTTTACTAATCCCCTTTCCTTCTACCTTCGTGTTCTGTGTTCTATGTTCATTCCCTGAATCGCTTGTCTCACCCGTATGCTACTGAGTCCTGAATAGGGAGTTGGATCGCTCCTACCCCCCTTCCCTCCTTCCTCCACCATCAAACTTACCCCGAAGGCCATCCTCACCCTGAAGAAACGACTCACCCTCGTTCCTCCCTCCACCATCAAACTCCAACTTTTTATCAATCTCAATCCCTCCTCATCCACTGAGTCGTTTGCACTCATATGTTCTTTGATTCGGGATACTCATAAGTTCTTCAATCCAGAGTACTCATAACTTCTTAACTCCTTTGATAGGGATACTGATAACTCCTTTAATCCGGAAGGGATACTCATAATTTCTTCTATCCGGAACCCGGAATACTCACTAGTACACACACCCTCATGTGCCTTTCGATTCGATTTGCGGGTTTTTTTTGGATAATTTTCGATTTAGGGTTTTTGGAGAGTGCAGGTTACTGAGGTTCTAAGGTAATTGAATATACATGCTAGTTATATTTACTTGAAGAACTTGGGCTCCAAAGTACTCAATGGGTCCGAAGTCAACAAAGAGGTTCGATAAGGTCGAAGTGAGTAGTAGGTTTTGTGCATTTGGATTGACTGTTCTTCTCTCACTTTTTTTCTTCTCCTCTTTTGTCTCGTCTCGTCTCCCCTTCTACTTCTCCTTCCACTTCCCTCTCCAACCCACAGGAACCAGAGTTCGAAGGGGACCGCATCGTCCTCTCCTCTGAAGCGCGACTCGCCCTCAGCCATGACCACCAACCCCTCCCTCTTCCCCTCCCTTTCCCCCAACCCCAACCCGGATCCCGACTTCAACTATGACCACCACTGACTCAGTGTATCTCTCCTGGGATGTGGGGTTATGACTAATGGGCATTATTTCTTCATCTTTTCTTGAGATTCTTTCTGTTCCTGCTGTTCGTTCACTGCTCTTCCCTCCCTTCCTCTCCAACACACATGAGCCAGAGTTCGAAGGCGACCGCGTTGTCCTCACCCTTGAAGAACAACTCACGTTCACCCTCAATCACGACCACGCTAACTCAGCGTATCTCTCCTGGTTCACGAGGCGGAAAGTGAAAGCCACAGTAATATCTGAACTTTTGCTCAATCTAGTACCCTTGTATCCACCACTCATTGTGCAACTTCAGAGTCCTTAATAGATGCTCCGTCGACCGTGTCACTCGGTCACCTTCTGAATCTTTATTTGATATTTCAACAATGCTCATTATTACCCTCACCACCGAGGTCCGACTCCTACTGACACTGGAGTCTAGATCTGGAACCACCATAATCAAATGTTCTCTGCAGTCTCCAACACAGACCAGTTCTCGGGATATTGTGTTATGAGATACTGACACTGTATGTTACGTGGTTCGATGAGGTTGAGGTGAGTAGGTTTGTTTATTCGGATTGACTGTCGTCCTCCTTCATTCCATTTCGTTCACTTCCTATCATCCATCAACTATTGCCGACGCGCTTCCTCACCCCTTTATTACTATCCCACTCTCTCTCTCCACTCTCTTCTTCCCTCTACTGCTGTTCCCCGTGCTTTTTTCTCTTACATTGTTTCCTCCTCAATGTTCATCACCTCACCTCTTCCACTTCTCTCTCCAACCTCAGGAACCAGACTTCGATGGCGACCGTGTCGTCCTCACCTCTGAAGAACAATACCTTTTCGACAACACCAATGCTGACTCAGCCCATTGAGGGGCCATTAGCATTTGCCGTAACTATGCACGGACCTTCGTGCGGAACATGTGTGTAACTTGCGCGGAACTTGCACGGATCACTTACCCAGCAAAGTACAACTTCAATAAATACTTTTTGACGAGTTTACTGATACTGATTCCATTTGAACAAATCATTGAGTCCTAGTCAATATCATAAATTGTATGCAAAACCAACTCTAGAAGCATTGCACTTTTATTTACTTTACTCTTACCATCTTATACTTTTGATGAGCAGGCCATTTTACCTAGTCTCAGCAATGGGAGCACAGTGATTGTTTAGGTATGTTGAATGAATTCTTCCAGCCTTTCAATTATCTATAAATGACAACAAATGCTTGATCCTCAGTTATTAGACATAATGGGCAATGACTACAGGCCTTGACAACACTGTGTGATATTGGGAGGTGAAAGAGGTCCCTTCATTGAGACTGTTGGGTCAAACAATAGACTGGCAAATTTTACTTTACCTGCAATGGCATTACATTACTGTTATTCAATCTCTTGTTGGAAATTTCAATGGTATCTGAGGGTAGCATGACATTGATTGGCTCATATGATGAAGATTATACCAGCCTTTTAGTCTGGTGGGAGCACCTCTTGATTTCTCTACTCAAAAGGGCTTTACAACACTGTTGAGAAGTAAGCTTGTAGTTCCTTGCAATTGTATTGAACTAGATCACTAGTTCAATGGCTTCTTAATGGTCTCATGATCAACTTTGCAGATTAAATTAACATCTCTGGCAAGTATAGAGATAAGTGTAGTAGCAATACAGGAACAATTTGAGTAAGGATAACAACACATGCAGTTGCACTATATGTATACATTTACAATGCAGAAGCATGCAGCTACAATGTATACATGCAAAAATGTGCTGAGCAATGGTGAATGGATGAGCCTCTAAGAATATCATCAAGTACATTCAGTGTATAGTATGTCATTTTCATGCAGGTGTTATAGACATGAAATTCATTCCATGGTGGGTATTACATGTATATTGATCAGGGGACTTGGTTTCTTACTTGTGTACATAACTAAGGACTAATATCTGGACTTGACACGCAGGAAGAGAGCATAAAACAATTGAGCAAGAATTAAGCTTAGAACAGTCAGACAAGACAGAACTGCAGTGAAGAGTGGCAGTTACTTTGTAGAAACTGTTACTGCGAAGGTTCTGTGCTTCAATCTGCATGGATTTGCATGTAACTTGGGCGGATCTGCACCTAACTTGTGCGGATCTGCACTTAACTTGCACGGACTTGCATATGACTTGCATGTATCCTGCATGTAACTTGTGCGGATCTGCATATAACTTGTGCAGATCCTACATGTAACTTCTGCACCCAGCTTTTACTAACAATCAGAGAAATAAGAGTCTCATTAAACAGACAATCTCACTCAAACTATAATGTGATTGTTATTCAGGTACATAGAATATCTCACAAATACCAATCACTCACATCTGAAGATTATGAAGCAGATAAGCTTCAGAATATCAGCTCAATCATATCTTTGCTCTCAATTGTTGAATCGTTGTTAGTAAGACACCAGAATAAATAGTTTAGTTAGTAATCCAGTGGTACTGAACAAACTCAAGTATTAGATAAAATTTCAGGATAGGAAAATTAAATTGGACCTGTAGAGCTCCATTGTACAATATCATTGTCTGGAACCAATTGAGAAGGAATATGACTATGTAGCAGGATTTTGTACACAATGTTGTATATTTACAGATTGCACGGAACTGCATGAAGTTGCATGGAACTGCGCGGAACTGCGTGGGACTGGTGCCGCACGGGTTACGGCAAAATTTCTGTGCCCGGTCCGAGTCTAGACCGAAAAAGTCGTGAAGCCCGAGAGGTTGTAATTCAAGGTGGGTCAGTCCGTTGAAGCAGCCGCATCCATAGGACCCGGATTGGTATGTACCCGCACTACCTTCGACCCAACTGAGCCTGATCTCAATGAGTCCCTCCAATTTCCTAATCCCTAGATTCTCCAGCTAAGTTGAGCCTATTTCACTATTCACTCTCTAATTTAATTTCTCTAGTATCTCTCCTCACCCTACTTAGTACTACAAAAGAGACTAGTACAGTGGTCAATCAAACTCGACACAAATACAATGGAGAGTCGGATTGGTTGGTCTCAATGCAGCAACTGGGACACTAACAAACATCATATTCCACGACTACTAAAAAACACAGATGTCACTGCTCAAGCTCTGCGCAAAATTCTCCCTCCTTTAAGCTCAGATCACAGCACAGCACATCTGCCCTTCGCTTGTATCAAAGCTGCGTTGGAGGGGTGTTGGAGGGGTGTTGGAGAGCGAGGTTTGGAAATTTAGGACGACGACTGCGATGATGCAGATGCCAAGTCCGATGTCAACAACAGTGGGTGGTGTGAGTACGGTGGGTACCATGGGTCCACTAAGTACAGTGGTGCTCGTCCCCGTTGTTGAAGCACCCAGAGTAATGGTGGGGTACCAGGTGGATAACGCAGAACAAATAGAACACAGACCCTCATCATCACTATCACCATTGTCAGTGTCTCTACCTCTACCACCCACACCACCCTCCGAATCTCAATCACCCGACGTGGGATATTTCTCGTTTCGTCGTGACAATCATCATGGTCAAGATGAGTCTGAGTCTGGTGGAGGTACAACGACGACATTGTTAATAATAACAACAACATAAACCCCTCCCTCCTCGGTATTTTCCTGGCTTCGGTGGCTTGACGACGATGATGGGGCTTTCCTTCGGGAGCGCGGATGGGAATAGGGATTACTCTGAGTACTGGTCTTGTGCTACCTGATCCATGGGTGCAAGGTGCGGAGGATATGGGGAGGATGTGGGGATGAATGAGGAATGATGCGTGATGAGTATGAGGGGTGATAAGAATGAGTGTGAATAATTAATTCCATGATGGAGATGAATAATAAATCAGTAATAAATCAGGATGTAGTATACAAAAATCTCTAGGTATATAGGATCAATATGATTCTCCTGGCTAGCTCATATGGTAAGGTCAGCAGGATAGCAAGAGGTTGCTGGGGTCCCGGGGATAGGGAGGGGTAGGGTCACAGGGTGGTGCTCAATTACCTTGGAGGTGTTAATAATTCACATATACCAACATTAGGTGTTCCTTATTGAGTCTGATATTATTTTCGGAGCCTCAGTTCTAAATATTCACCTTCTCTGAGTGGTTCAACACGGAATCTATAGAACTTGCACTGTCTTAATTTGGTTGGATATCCCAAGGTACATAGATCTTACCACACCCATGATCATCTGTATCCATTCAACTTCGCAATTTTAGTCCAAAAGCATTTCCCACTCAATTTTCACACTAGTTTGTTCATTCAGAAAGTCTTAAGAACATTGTAAATAATCTCTACTTGAATATAGCTGTGTTTTTCTGTTTACATAGTTAAAAATTCCCCTACAACTTTCAAATACTCTTCGGGAATTTCCCAAAATGGGTGGTGGCTTGCATTATGGAATTTGACCCATTTAACCTTTGCAAGGCGCTTAAAGAATGGCAGGATGGTGATGTCCTGTGCCATATCATACTCCGAGTTTGTAATAAGGGTTGTATAGTCAACGCTCTCCAGCAAGTCAATAACCGACCAGGTTTTGATAGAACCGGTGATACAAAATTCAGAGGGGCCATTCCTACACCAATGAAATGATGATCAATGAGCTTCTTGAAGTATTAAAGAAATTGAAACAAACATTGTATGATACACTGTGGGGTCCTCCGCTGTACTTGCAACAGATTTTAGAAGTTCTTCAGGCCAGGTTTCCAGACGATTGGCATGTTTCTTGTAGAACAATCCCATACCAGCCTCATATTCTGGATCATGGGTAGTCCCAGCTTGCTCATGCTTTGTAAGTGCCTCATGGACATCCTTGTCCAGACCCTGCAACAACTTGTTCTGAGACTCTACCCATAACTCCATTGAGGCTGGTGTTCCAATCAGGAGAAGTCGTTTCAGTCCTTTAGGATGACGTTTAGCTGCCCACTCAACTCCAAGCATTCCACCCCAAGAACACCCCAAAAGGTCAAAATCACTTGAGACACCAAGTGATTGGAGCAGATTCTCTAGCTCATCCATAAAAAGCTCGGAAGTCCAGAACTCCTTGGGCTTATTTGGAAGGTGTGTTGATTTCCCTATTCCAATTTGATCATAGAAGATCACTGGAATCCCATAGAGCTCATGCAATCTTGAATGAGGTAGAATGTAGTCATGTGACATTCCAGGCCCTCCATGTAAGGCCTATGGTGAAAAATCAGGTTTACATATCAATACAGATTTTGAATCAGTGCTCACAATCAGCGGGCGCTGAGTACTATCCAAGCTTCCTACAACCTTGTACCAAGTCTTGAATATCTCGCCCGCATAATGAAAATCTGTGGTGCCTGTGATGAATGACATGCTGCTATGCTTTTGGGGGTTGGGATCAGGTAGCAGCGGTTGCACTTAAGTAACCAATATTTCAGATCATGATGTTGATTGAGCACCGCTATTGACCGGTGATACCGGTACTTCTGACTTCTCGGTAATACCTCCCGCCCCTTCTGATAATTGTTTCCATACTCATCTAACTGCCCACATGGTGACAATGTCAGGTTTGACATGGCATGTTGTTGTGTTTGTAACTACTTTTGAGCTTATTCAGTTGTCATGAGCAATTATAAGCGGATGCGCTGGGTACAAATCATTGTCCTTGAAGCCCGGATCTTTGATATTCTCTGATAAATAATTGGGCAGTGTCTGAATAGAGCCACATGGAATCAGTCAGAAGCCCTGTACAGATCAGGACTAGAAGAATGATTAGTCTTATCTGCAAGATACATATCTCGCCCCATCCCAAAATCATAGAAACAATTGAATTGGTCGATGTCACAAGTCCGAACAATGTGAGCGGGAAGTACCTGTCAAATTCTCACATGTCCCTACATTTTCCCTAATATCTCATTTACGCCATTGCCAAGACAATTATGATTTATATACTCTGGTTCTCGTTATCAGCCCATCTCGAGTTATGGCTGACTATACCCCAAATGGGACTGGAAGCCAGCTTTTTGCTGAAAAGATGTGGCTTCAAGGTGCTCTCATCACTGCTGTGGGCTATGGAGCAGTTCTCACTCTATATGTTCTGGCATTTTACCTTCTCTTATCCCGACTGGATAGGTGGAACCGTCAAGCTCATGCTATCTTCCTAGTTTACATCACAGTTCAATTCATTTTTGCAACCCTCTTCCAAGCTTCCTCTGCCCGCTTTACTCAGCTAGCTTTCATCAACAATCGAGACTATCCAGGTGGTCCAGGTGCTTATGAGCTTGCCTTCTTCTATATTCCAGTGGATATGCTTGGAAATATAGTTTATGTACTGTCTAATTGGTTCTCTGATGCACTTCTGGTGAGGTACTTTGTGATTTTCATTATTTTCATCACCTGATATCGAGTCAGTTGTGGAGATGTGCAGTTATATACAGCACCTGCAGGTTCCCATTGTGGGTGATTATGGGATTTCCAGCTGTGGTGATGATGGGATCTGTTGGTATGTTTTATCTCTTTTTCTGTTAATTCTGCTAATTGCTTACATCCTTCAATTGCATATACTTAGGAAGTGGAATTATGTATCTTCTTCAGGTGTCAACAACCTCACCCTTCCTACCCTCTTCAGCCAATTTCACCATCATCGACAGTAGCATTTCCTTAGCCCTCAATTTAATGTTAACTATCATGATTGTTGGCCGTCTGGTTGTATACAGATATCGTCTCAAAACAAACTTTGGACTCTCTGTATCGCAGCGTGACTATACAAGTGTCATGGCCATGCTGGTGGAATCTGCGGGACTCTATGCAGCATTCAGTCTGTTCTTCATTGTACCTTTTGCATTGGGAAGCTCTGTGGAAAATATAGCCTTTCAGGCATTGAGCCAAGTTCAGGTGATGTCAAGTTGCCTATCACTAATATCACACCTAACTATCTGCTTCAAGGTTATAGCTCCATTTTTGATCATAGTCCGTGTCTCCCAAGGCAAGGCATGGTCAACCTCAACAGCTCTGGAGATCACATCAGCCAGTGAAGGTTTGGGTACATTGAAAGATAAGGTCCCAATGGCACAAATACAGTTTGCATGTGCATCTAGAGATGATACTAGCATGCCGAATGCAATCAGCCATCACCCCAGTGTTCCAAATTCGGACACAACTCTTACCACTGAAATTGTGTAATAGGAGGTCCGGCATTAATTGGTACCATTTATATTTCACTTGTAGTCTGAGTCTCTTGCAGAGATTGTAGGCCACCCAAACTTGCTGAAATAATAAATGAGGAGGTGGTTGTGACATTGTGGGCTCTGCAAATATAGAAATGATGGGATTTCTCTCTCTCTAGTCAGTATTGCCCCACTTGTCTTGCAACAACCAATTTGCAGTTCTGAAATTTGTTAATGACATCTGCCCTGTGAGAACTGTGAGAAAAAAATCAGACTAAATCCAAACAGATCATCTTCATGTATATCATCAATGTAGATACTCGAAGCTAATGGAACACAAACACAGACATGCATTTGGAATGTCGGTCTTTTTTTTTTCTCACTCCTATGAAATATCCAAGAAAATTTCAATCAAAGACTCACCAACTATACGGACACCTCCATTTTTGCCCATCCGGTGGCTTCCGACTCTATAGTGAGAGGGCCCTCAATGATACCTGATCCAGGTTGGGACCACAGCGCTAGCATCAAAAAATTTGCAGCCTGAGTACATGACAAAGGAGGGTCATTTACAGTGTGGAATTATTACCAAGAATTTTGTGAGAGCCTTTGCACATCTGTGACCCTCCCTCGGTGACATATCATGCAATCTGGTTCTCTGCCAGTGGTCACCAATGACTTAATAGATTGAAATGATACAAGATCTCATTACACAGTATGTGGTTCAGGCATGGAATCACGGTAATCCTCGAAATTTCTCTCTGCCTCCTCATATAACTTTGTCCAATCCCTGCAAATAGTATCATATCCCCTAGTCACAAGCCCATCTGCATCTTCTGTTGACTCTAAGCCAGAGTCTATATTGCATAGGATAGACTGCCTCAAATAATGAAAACAGTGCTGTACCAGTCCTCCGGTATCTTTTCTTGCCAGGTAGTCATCAGTGAACCTTTGTTCAGAATTTCCAGTATAGGCTCCCTGATACAACTGTAGATACTCTCTACGGAGAATATCAAGGCAATCAAGCTGATGGAAGAGTGTAACTGTAAATGTCTGAAGCTCCGCATCTTTGCTTTCTTGGATGTGAATCAAATGGCCACCATTTGGAAGAAGCTTTCTCCATTGCACGTCACTTTCTTCTGTATGATCTAATCGATAATGAACAGTTTCACCGATCCAATGAACCACAGGATTGCCAAAGGATACTGAAAATGTGAGTTTTTTGGCTGTAAATCATGATTGAGTATTTGTCACAGACTTCAATGTTTACTTACTGTATGGATGAGTAAAATTATGTTTCTTCCATGTTATTATCATTCCAGTTGCAAAAGCAAATAATACGAGTGCAATAAAAGATGTCAGTCTGAAGCCTGACTTTGTGTAGGTCGATAGCAGAGCCATTCACGGTGTATACATGCAATTGATGAAGATGTGGGCTTATTATACCCTGGATTTCTCAATCAATATCAACAGTGTAGTAAGATTTGTTGACGTTGTGAGACATGTCGTATGGTACATCTTCTGATGGAGAAGTGGAACTTGTTGACTCAGAAGGTGGACTTCACATCACATCAAGTCATTGAACCAATTGCATGCATTGTTCACATATGTATTGGGCTTTGGTTCTATCTGTCAACTTCCCTGTATGTGGAATCTGTCAACTAAGCCCGTATGTGGATTTGATTCCAATTATGTTCTATGTGGACCAAATAGATAGCTCAGTCTGAGTCGGACATATTTTAGTAATGTGTAACTCAAGATTTCGAATTATCTGTTGCTTGCGGGAGAAGCATGGAAAGGTGCTGAGATAACGATCTGATGCAGCCAGTCACAAGTGGCGCTTATTAGTTGACAGTTGACATTCTTGAAAAAGGTATTTATATACAGCAATATGGACTCACAGCAGAAACCCTACAGACATATGTTTGTTCAATCTATCTTCCCTCTTTCCTTGGTCTGCATTTTCTTAATGTTTCAAATTCGGAGCATTGTAGGAGCACCCATACCTGATTGCCCTGCAGTTTTGAATGACTTAGAGGACGAACATCAAGCCAAGGTAAGTAGGCAGTTGGCAAAACTTTATGTATCTTAGTGACTCAACTTTCGACTAGAGCAAACGTTCGGGCTGTATGTTATGTTTTACATACATATCCTATCCTGTCTGACATTGTTTTGGTCAAAGGCACACCCGGAATCTAAGTGATATGTCCGGCTACTTGATTCGAATGAAGCAGCAGCGGTGAGCTATTTGCAGTTTGATACCATTTATGATAGCTGATTTGCTATGCACATTGGCTAGATTCACAAGATTGTGAAAAATATATGCTGGGGAATCTATGACTTCATACATATGCTTTTGCTCTATCCTGAGTCATGCTGAATTCATGACTCATTTTATCAATATTCATGCCCTCATCTTGGATAATCGGCTGTCATTCTCAGGTAAATGAATTGAGAATTTCAGCATTCGAACAATGTCAAGGAAATTATGCATTCATTGGTTCAAGACCCAGTAGAGTCATAGAAGCCATAAAAGCTCATTTCAGGCAGGTGTAACTGGCCACCTAAACCCGTAGCACAATGGTCTGCACTAGACCCCTACCATGCTTGGAAAACACCAGATTCTTAGAGACCTTCATCACAGTATCAATGAATCATCATTCAGAAATTTCATAACGAAAATATTCGCGATCATATTTTTCTGCAACATTAATAAAGAAGAAGATTCAGCATAGGAAAATTTGCTGATTTCCAAAATTGGGATGATAGATGGGGTCTTAATTGTTATGAAATGTGATTAGTGATGATGTAATCATTGCCTGCTGTTTGACATAAAAGCTGGAGCTGACTTGTGTCTGAAATTCCCGCTCAACATGACATCCCGACATTTTCGCTTCATTTTACAGTGCTGCGTCTGTGCTGTGGCTATTAATCTTGTGTGCACAGTTACTATTGTATGGAAAGCAACAGGTTAGCATAAATATACATCTCATTCACATAACCACTTGTGCTCATTCTCATTATTTCCTACAACCCAAGCAGGTGTTAATCAATCCTTTACCTATATAGGGAATGATTTTCCTTTGAAAATGCCTCTGCCGAAATTTCAGGAAGTTCAAATGGCATACTATGAGTCGGTACACTATGCTTTCAATGGGACTCAACCGCAGGATATTGCAGAGTGGGATACTGTTGTCAACTTACCTGAAGGATTTGGACGGGTCCGATTGGGACCAGAATGGCGTACCTTTGTCCTCACCTATTACCATCAGCTTCACTGTCTGCAGAGCATTCATGAGGCTTTCACTGCCCCTAGCAGCTTTGACAGTAGTGGGCATGACCACGAACATCTTGAGCATTGTTTCAATTATCTTCGCCAGACATTCATGTGTGAAGCTGCTGACTCATTGGAAAGGGGTAATTTTCATGAGCAAAATTTTACGGCAGATCGGATTGGAGAGACAGTAGTGTGCCGGGATTGGAGTTCAATATTTGGAGCAGCTACCGAGAATTATCGTTCCTGGAAACATAGATATAGATTGCATTCCAGCATTTAGTCAATAGACTGTCATGTACAGGGATACAGTATTGTCTCAGTTCTGTGTGGTCTGCAAACATGCTTACTGAACCCTGAACTCAACCCAAACTTCAGATTTAGCCCAAAGTTTTCTGGATTTTGATTGATTGACCTGCCTGTTCCACATGGAACATGGTGGCATTTTGGCAACCATGAGACTCCAATATAAGCCTCTTAACGCTATGTGGGTAGGTTCAATTAAGTATACACACAGCAAGTTGATACATGAATTCGGGATAAAGCTGACTTCAGAACAAGGTTTGATTAAACACATCAGGAGATACAATGTGGACATCTTTATGGATTGACATATCACATAAATGTCACATACAAGGAATATTGCGAAGGAGCATCATCCTCAGTATGTATTTCCGCAGTATATGTCGCATCCACTGACAGTAGAACCATACACACAGTTGATGATAATCCCTATATCTACATATGGACTATGCAATTTGACAGATGGGATCAAACACATTTACAGGCATTTCGGTTTAGAATCCGATAGATATCACTATCAGAAATACCAACGACACAATAGGTATGACAGCAATATTCCGGAGCTTTGATTGATGATGTATTCAGCATCTGAGAGTTGTAGGCAATTGTCCTTTCATAATTATAGTAATTCTTACTCCACACTGGTCCAAGGATTCTTGATTGGTGTACACAGCTGAATACATCGAGGCTTTGAGGAAGAAATGAGGCTATCCTCCACTAACAGCATTTAATTCTGATATCTTTGGCTAAAGGAACAGCGGCGCCCTTTATATCAACATCATGATGGAAATGACAGAATGATCGGTCTTTTCTGCACATGTGTCTGAACACGACATGGCAGACCTGCCGTCTCAATCTTCTCAAATCTTCTCTTAAGAGGGTAGATTGCTGTACAATTATTAGAAGGATGGAATGCTAATGAGTGAAGTAAAAATGATGTGCTTCCCTGATGGTGAACCAACTGATATATAATGATCTCTTTTTCCAAATGCACCTCCTCTCTAGTCAATCAATGCCTGGGTCACTAAACTGGCAATACTCCCAATTGCACAATGGCGTGGAAGGTGGTCACTGTAGTGGTCCTTCCACAAAACATCACAAGTCTCTAGTGGTCTGGCTAGTCGCTTTTGTCTCTATTGTCTGCACTTGTACCAGCATCGGAGTGTTTTGTGTATTTTTGGGGTATAATCCAGCCATCTCCAGTCACTTGTCATCTTTCCCTCGCCAGAAAATGTATACTCTTCACCGACCATCACAGTTCATTGGATTTGATCTATTGCAACATTTTTCTCCTCCAAATCAAACGTCATTTCTCAATTTTCCAATTCTTGTAGCTCAAATTGATCACCTGGAGCCTTATAAGGTTTATCCAGATGACAGTCGCCGTTACACAAGTGGTATTGGAACAATCAGCCCAGATGATAAGCAAGTGCGAATGACAGAGCATGTATGAACTTACTTCTTCAATGAACTCGTGTGTATTGCTAATCTACATCCAGGTCTCAACAGTAGTGCAATTTTTAGCAATTGATTATGCTATGGAGATATGTGAATTGCATCTTCGAATAAATCCAACATCTTCAACTTTGGTCATGGCCCCATCACCAATATACCCTGTGCTAACTATACATTGTCTTGACACTACCATACATCTAGATTCAAAGAAACTTTCATTCAGCAATCGACCCTCCTTGGGACCAAAACTTGTTGATTTGAGAGTAAATTATACAAGTGGCATTGATTGGAGTCGAAAGTTTCCATGTGCTATGCACGAGCTGCAAACATTCCAGTTGGGGTGCTCTCAGTCAGAGTTTGATGATCCACATAGTTGTAATGTTCAATGGTGGCAAGACAAGAAAACTATCACAACCTGTGAGTGCCTCTGCACTTGTAATGGGGCTTTTGTTTGCTCACCTTTTCAGCATTATATATGACTCAACATTACAAGAAACCTGTATCTAAGAGATAGAAGGGTATCACTCCACTATGTCATGCTGTTGTTGTTTGCCAACATCATATCCTTCCTAGATACCTTTATTTCACATTCTATAACCTCACATCAAATCATTCACAGCTCTCTCTCTCCCAGGTAGACCCTGAATGAGAGTGTAATGAAATCAACTGCGGTATACTCCAAATTATAAAACAAAAAGGGTCAAACTTGAGTTGAAGAGACTGACCATTCCAGAACAAACAATCTCAAGCATAACATACAACTGCATGCAACTACATAGTTATGCATGGTATTCCCTCAGCTAGTAGAAATCTGAATTGACAGATTAATGTGTTTTCTTGAGCATTTCCGAATGACATTTCACTGTATGGAGCCATTGTTTGACAAGGACAGATCAGAGTCCAGTGGCGAGGGCGAAAGATAAGCTTGCCAAGAATAGACCATTCACCCAAAGATCTCTGGAACTAGGCGAAGCATTTTGAAGATCCACATTGGATTTGGGGATAGCGTTGATTGTGGTGAGATTACCAGCGGCTCGAAGGAGCTGAACCTGTTCCACCAACAAGAGGGCAGTGATTGCAGGATAATCAGGCTGGAGAGAGTCAATAGTGGCGATGATAAAGGACGTAACCACACCAGAGAATAATGCAGCCTATATCACAAACATGATATTACATGTTAGTCAAATTATTCGGAGCCTTTGCTCCCCACACAGCTAAACTCAAATTATAACTCACAAAAACCAAAAGCGAGTCAATCGTGTCCTTGAATCCTCGCAACATCTCATCATCATAATTCTCCGCTTCATCCAGGTATACTTTCCAGACCCGGGCAGTTTCACTAGTCTCCTCATAGTTGTATGATCGACCACCTGTTATTATATACGGAACGTGAATTATCAGCGACATGATGATCACATGAATTTCTTACTAGAATATGAAGACTGATAATGAGGAATCCCAAAAATATTGGGAGGGGAATCTGAAGCTTTTGTTGTTCCTTTGATTTGAAGGATGCGGCAGAGGTGGAGGTTCATCCAACTCGAGTTGGGGCTGATTTGGGCAAGGGATTATCAAGTGAAGTCATCCAGGGATCGTCATTGGACTTACACTCGGTGTAGGGAAGTCTTGTATTTCGGACATGATAATGGAGGCGTTGATGGGCTGAGGATAAGGTGGGGGGGAGAATGTAACAAGTCAACTACGGCCTCGAAACGGTGGTTCCTTCATATGTGCCAGCTTTTCATGATGCGAACATCATAGCATGTTTACCCTTTTGTCATATAAGCATCAGCATGATTGTCTCGAAGAAATGAACGACAGTTGGTCATATCACTAAACTGTAAAAATTCCACTAAAACCGACTGAATGTGTTTATTCTTGAGTCTATATCACTGGAAGGTAAGCGTGGATTATACAGTGGTAATTAGTGACATTATGAGGAACTGACTGTGGATGACAGTCGGAACGTCGACTTTGAGCGCTAAATTATTCGTTTATTGTTCTCCTTCCCGCCATTGATCATTTTCCGTCGTCTTCGGTAGGCTTAACTCGTTGTTAGAGAGGTTGCAGGACACACTGCGGGGATGAGCCGATTTTCTCGCGACCGAAAGGTTGATTTTATAGTGAGGTTTGGTACAAAATTATTCGGCTTACCGAGCGCCGAAAATTCTGAATATTCTTTCCTAAAGCCAGTGCATGTTATGGGCCCGATATAGTGCAGTTTATATGCAAAACCTACCATTAATATCCATAATCTTATTTTTACAAAATGCAAGCCGATTTTTCAATCTTTTCGGGGGCCGTTTATCCAAAATTATTCCATTGAAAGCTGTTGAAGGAAATACAAAGAAAATTGAGAGCTTAGTATAGATAGTGGCCCAATATTCTACCAGGAATAATTCAGAATTTTCACATATAAACAGCCTCGCGCAAAGCATGCGCTTTTTCAAAATAAGCTCGCCCAGCTTATGGTGACCCGATGTCGGGACGTCGCCGACATCGATATATCAGGACGTCCGGATGTCGTTGGCGTCGGGATGTCGGGACGGGTGACGTAGATGATGTCGGGATACGTGACTTCAACAATGATTACTTCGGGATTTTATTTGCACAACTACTATATCTACAGTAGCAGCAAGGAAGTTGATGATTTGAGGGCTTGAATCAACAATCTTCAATGGGCCTTGAGATCTCCAGTAGTTCTTGATTGTTTGCGGGCAATTCGAGAGCTTTACGCATAATCACTGTCAGTGAGATGACAATTGTATATATAAGAAAGACATATCTCGTGAACCACAAATCAATGACTTTTGCTCAAATTTGGAAGACACGTCTGCTGGCTATGCCGTGTAGAGTATATATGAGTGTACATAGTGAATATTTATAACTATCGAAGTCTGCAAAGAGTCGTAAGTTAACGAATCCGAGAGCATTCAAAATGAACGTACCTTTACGAAGATCCAGCACGCACAAGCACTGGCCGAATCTTCCTTCGCCAAATGCGTCTCCGTTTTCCAAGGAAGATGAATTTCTCGATGTGACGCCTACCACCTTATCGTAGAAACTCTGAGATAATGTTAAAGTAAGGAAGAAATACATACATTGTGTGCACTGGATGCGAGGTCTTTTGAAGCACTTCAACTCCAGTAGAATGTGAGCTAGAGATTCTTAAGAGAGGATGAGCATGTTCAGATGAGAGTGCTCAAAAGATTACCGGATCTCCTCCTTCTCGGAACGCGCAAAGGCGGCAGCCAAACTCTGTCAGGGCATGGGCACTGACGATCCCATTCGGCTTTCCGCCGATTGTAGCTGTTGGTCATCCCGATTTTCCAACGATGACCGTATTCAACGAAGGCGTAAAGAAATCCTGGCCCATCTGCTAACGATACGCTGCGTGATCTTCGTGAAGCGTACAGGGCACGCAGTTGTGTAGCGGATCGCGATCGTTGGCTGGTCATGTATTTTGAGGAGCGTTGAACAGAAAAGCCGAGCAACGCTAGTGGCAGTGTTGGGAAATGAGGCAGCTAATTTGGAGGCCAGATGTAGGATCTGAAGAGCGACGGAGGATCCAACAAGAGGCTGGAGAGAAAGAAGCGTGACGGGAAGACAGGGGAAGGGAAAAGGGCGCGGGAGCGATGGACAGAGACAGAGGCGCTGAAAGAGCGGATACTGATGACGCGCTCTCAGCATCAGTCACCCCCAAGGTAAGCTTCATCTGCGGTGGTGGCTCAGGGCCACGAGCCTGCTCACGCAGCTTTCGTCGGGAAAGGACTTCTCACTGCTGCTGTATCCGTAAGTGTCTTCGCTAGTCCTAGTGGAAAACAGGTCAGGCGAGCGGTTGGATTGGTTCATCCGCAAACTTCGAGCTCGGGCAGCACTGAAGAAGGAGCGGGAACGTTGATCATTATCGAGAACTGGCAGGATACGTTGAACTTTGGACAGGCCAAAGAAGCGTCATACTCATATCCGATCTATGTCAACCAACTCGGTTCGTTGCCTCACCGTCGCTGACGATGTTGCTGTCCCTCGTTCTCGTATCACTCTTGTTGGACGACTCGGGCTTGCAGACCTAGGGCCGACTGTGAATTCAGAAAATTACTCTGTGACGGGAAAGAGAGCCTGACAAATCTTCCGCCAAAGGACAGAATGAAAGCTGTATGCCCCAAGCAGGCATCGATCAAGGGGTCCAGTTCTCGCACTCAATTCACAGGGACAAGGAAAGAGGCTACATGACATTCGGAGGGGATCAGCGATGAGACGATTTAGTCCTGAGCTGAAGTTTAGAGGCAAGTTTCTGATTTAGACCTCGCAAGACAATACGCCGCTACCAGATATCGCCCTCCTTCTTAAACCTTCCTAGCGTTCGACAACACAGTTGAAAATTTGAAAGCTGCATGTTGATTGGTTCGATGTCTCCAACTTTCTTCAGGCGGAAATTGTTCTCGAGGACCTCTGAAGTTCCGGTGTCGTTATAGAGCTAAGATCTTAGTCGCTACTGAGTTTGACTCTGTAGGCCTAAGTGTTATGTACCAAGTTTTTGACGGTGATAAATAAGTAATGTTTAAGACGGAGCCAATGTCACATGACTGATAAGTGGCATTCCTATAATTATGATCATGATGATTACCATCATGACCATGTCATGTTCGAGTACAACTCGAGCATAGACACGACTCTACGAAGCTCTACGGCTTCTAACTCCTCATATCAAACTCTGGACGCACCTAAATATTTATCAACATCCTCATGTCATGTTTGAGTACAACTCGGGCTTAGACGCGACTCTCTGAAGCTCTACGACCTCCAACTCCTCATGTCAAACTCTGGACACCCTCACACTTACCGCTGGATCAATGGAATTGTATCATTTGGTTTAGATATCAACGCAACGTTTTGCCTGATTCTATGAACTATGGAATCAAGACCTGGAAGATGTCTCGCTGCCGCGAGGTTGAGCTTTCCTTCACAGCACTCGAGACCCTCTAACTATATCGAGTCTGAACCAATTCAATCGTTTCTTTTCATTTTGTTCCATCGATTGGAACTGATACACATCGCGCTCCTGTGATTCCTAAATAAATATAAGTATATCGAGAATCGCTCATGCTTCGCATCCCCAGAACCTAACTCTCTACAACCACGATACGACGATTTGCTCACAGAAGACTGTTTGACCTTGCTCACTCGTGTTCGCTCAGGGCGAAACTAATCATAAACAACTCGCAATGGATCCAAGCAAACACAAAGCACTTACGGATGAGGTATGATCAGTGTTCCGTTGGTTGAGCTGCACTCTCATGAGCCTCATCAGAAAGCGACCAACACTGCCCATATAATTCACGGAAGTTCTCATAAGGAAGACGAGACAGTTGGACATCGAGGCACCACGGTATGACTTTCTGATTTCAAAACACAATTCAAGCATCTCATTGTTTTTGGCTTCGGAATATTTTGAAGACTGTGCACATCGATAAGGTGCGTTCTAACTTATTCCATGACATCCTTGTCGTGATGTCTTACGTTGGGTTTATACTTCAGATCTTTCTGCTATTGGCTATGGGATTTGAAGCTAGCGATGAAGAATGTCAAATGGACCCTTATGTGTACAATAGACTCTCGTGGCGTAGCCCTCAGATTATTCAGATCCTCGACAAACTGGACCGGGTGACTCACAGAAAATATTCATAATGAAATGTATCTGTTATGTACTATCAATAATCATACGATTGTCAGTCCTTGTCAGTCTAAGGTTTAGAGCAAATAAATTGAATTCGTTTTGAATAAATGTCAATATTCACATACTCTAGCAAAAGACCTGCAAAAGACAATCCTGCGAACGCGCTGACATTTGATACAAAAAATATATCTACTTGTACAATAGACCTGCATCACTCTGGACCTTGCGCCCTGGGGTATCCTCGGTCCTTCAATGTCCTAAACAAAAATGAGATACGATCTAATTTCCTGAATGATGATACGCACTTCAAAAGGTCTGCAGGAAAAATGAGTTTGATGGGCTTTCGCGGACAAACAAACTCGTTAACAAATCCACTTCCACCTTTAGCCCATCCAGGTTCCTGTTCCTCAAGCCACTGAGCATCGTAAAAGTTTGCAGGTAGGCCAGAGACGTATTTTGTCTTCGAACTTCGATCGTTTTTATGGATGCGAATTCGAGGAGGAGCCCCTCGCGTATAACCGAATCTAGTTGCTTCAGTGGTACATCGACCTTCCAGATGGCAGTAGTCCAACAACCTGAGTAAATTCAGAAGTTCGACGCTTCGCCATTTCGGCGCCTTGATAATGTATTGCACTTGCGGTTTCTTCATGCCAGGATCCTCATCGTCAGAGGACATTCCTGCGACGCCTAGCTCATCGAAGAACGAGAGGAAGGACTCAAGCGAGTGGAAGGTGATGATGACCTCCCTTCGACGATGGAACAGCTTTTGGGGTGTGAGTTTGTGTGTTTAGGCAATAGAAAGTGACTCACGGTATTTTTCCGCTGCCACCTTTTGGAAAATAGAGAGCGAGGATTTTTGTTGTCCTCCAGCATTTTCTGTCTTTCCATCCAAGATGCATGAAGTGTTTTGAGTCGTAAAAGGAAAGCTTCGCGGATAGCATCACGAGTCTGAACATTGGGTGTGGTAATCAGCTTCCTCTTCTCAAGAATTTCTACAAAGACATATGAAGCACCCTTGTTCCATGCCGATTTGGGACCACCCGCGATCCAGTATCAAAAATCGTCGACTGAGCAAGGGCGTGCAAGAGGATTTGTTTTGAACAGCAGTGTAAAGTCATCAGCCTCGTCCTGGGAGACTGTCTCCTTGAGCTGATCCTGGCCTTCCATTATTTCATTCAACCATTTCCACATCGTTTCCTATAACGAGGACCTTTGGATAAGCTGAAACACATAATGCAAGTAAGTACATACCTTGATTTTCAGTTCTTCAGCAGGTCGATGCTTGACCCCTCCTGAGCGAGCAGGCTGCTTTTTCCTAGCATAACGGAAGAAGGGATTGTCATTTGAATCTCCTTCGTCGTCCCCATCCTCGCCATTGCCATTGCCGTTGTTGCGATTCGTGGCGCTTCCCGCAGCTCCACCGTCACTAGGTTTTGCCGCAGAGTCACGGTCGTTTGAGGGCTGGGGTCCTTGATTATTTCCGGATCCATGTCTCTGACTATCTCCCTCGTCCTGATGACCCGGTGACCCTTTGTGTTTGCTCTTTGCGGATAACATATCCAACGTCTCCCCAATTCGGCCGAGTATCTCTGTGTTCTGCGCAAGGTGGGATACTACCTTGTCTATCTTGTGATCTTGTTTCTGCAATACCTGGTCTTGTTTCCGAAGTATCTCTGCGGTTGAATTTTGCAAATGATGATACAGTTCCCCCATCGTCTTCGTTTGATGATTGAGCAGAGCTTGCAGTTAAATGGATATTTTCTGAGATTCCTGTCGGAGAATCAAGCTATCGATCAATCATTCATTCATGAAGCATAAGTTGAACGTATGTACATGTCGTGAGGCGCGATATGCGCGAAAATTGCTGGACATCGCTTAACGATTATCGGAAAAATCAACTTGGTTTTAGGGTGCTGGATGGTGTGTGCAAAGATCCGGGGGGTTGTCGTCTGTCGTACTAGTCCCTATTTGGCTCGTGAAGGTCTGTAACCGCTTATATCCAGTTTAGAACCAGGACAAGCTAGAGAGGTAGATAGGAAGAGAGTTCGAGTTAAACGAGACAGATTACGCCATCTTTTCGCCGTTCGGGCCGATTATTCAAAGTTACCGAAAAAGGAAACGGGGCTTTGATTCTGAGTATCGTAAAGTATTTTACACTTAATTCTACACAGACAGCTTCCAGTTACAAGAGTGGTGAGCAAAAATCAGATTTTACATGGCTGGGATAGTATACTATCTATTCCTACAACTTCCAATGCGCGCAATAGTTGCCATGAATGAAACCTAAGCATGAATGAGTAAACATGGTGCTTAATGAAGGAGGAGTTTACATACCTCTTTCTCGAACTTTTGTAGTCTCTCTGAAATTTTTGCGGTCTGGGCCAGAAGAGGTGCAAACGCAAGGGCATATTCCTGAATACGACAACAATATTAGTGGCTAAACATGATTCAGATTGAAGCGATACACACCTGCGTTTCTCGAGAGGGTGTACGCTGACAATATACTAACGCCTTGAATAACTTGGGTTTCGTCTGGTAACGAGCTTGCAAAATATGAGTGGCAAGATCCTCCAGGGCATCGTGAAGCAGGCGGCAGGTTGCATCCGCATCTGGAAGCACCAATGTAAGATTGCTCAAAGGTTCTGAGTGCTTGCCAATGATGATCTAGGTAGAGTTGAGTGAACAAACAATCCGTTGATGTTGCGAACTACCTGTCCCCTGAGCTTTAGTAGCACTAATTGAAGAACGCGAATTTCGGGTTGGAGTGAGAATGATTGCGCCTTTTGTGCAAGAGAGACAGTTAGAATGAGAGGAGCAGCATTGAATTCGAGGACATACAGTGTGCTCGAGGCTTCCTGTGCGCACAAGGTTCATATATACACGTTCCTGGTCTTCGATTGCAGAATTCAGCTTGACAAAGAGAGTTTGGTACTTCTGGTCGAATATGTGTAGGGTCGCTGTAATTGTGCTCGACAGATCATCGATTGGCTCCATGTCAAGAATCGGTAGAGTAGTTCAAGCTCTAAAAAACAAGAGTCAGCTTTTATAGCGAGAAAAGACGTACGGTACAACATCAGATTCAAAGGGACCGGACTGTAGAGCAGAATTGAGTCATTCTCGCATCATGAATGGAGGCTTTGAGGAGCTCAAAGGGTTATTCAATATCGCCATTACCTGTGTCCGGTTTGAAACCAGGACGAGGTGGCTAAACTGGTTGATCAAAGGGAAGAAAGTAAGTATTCAAGTCGAAAGCCGACCGGTGCTTATCAGTATCGTCATCATATACGGGCCGATCTATTTTTTTTACCTCGACAACTTTCACCAGTCACCACCACCGAGTCAAACTCCGTGGTTGGTCAATCTTCACCTCGATGGGACTGCGTATCCCTTTCACCCCTTCAAGCGCGTTTGTCTCAATCTGTCCAATGGGATCAGTATCCTCTTCTTCCCTTCTTCTTTCCTTCAAGCATTTTCACCTCAATGGGCCCGCTTCCGAATATGCTCAAGGTGCCACACAGTTTCATAGTCCCCAGCTCAAAGAGACCTCATAAGAACTGACGCTCCCATCTCTTTTCCCCCATAATGTCTTTCTCACTCGTACGCTGTGTATCTTGCGAAGACGCCGAGATAAATCAATTGCAGTGGCGAATGGCAGCTGCTTTAGACGAGGCTGACAATCTTCGAATCGAGCTTGATGCTTTAGCAAAGCGCCTCAAACTACGCGATGAGGTAGATATCCTGTTACCGATCTATTGCGTATATCTCTAAGTTTTTGTTAGACAGAGCTTCGTTTGCGTCTTGCCAAACAGAAAGCTCTGTACGTGCAAACGGTCGTTACTCTGAAGGAAACCATGGCGGATAATAGGCTGCTGCAAACGGAACTTCTGCGTTTGCGAGAAACTAGGAAGTGATTAGTACGTTGTCGAAACTCCTCCGCTTCATCGCGGTCCTCAGTCTGTCTTCATCTTCTTAGACTGGTGAATCAGGAGCGCACGGTATCCCTGTCCCTGACGTACGAGAGTATGCGTCGCCAGATACATTTCTCATAATTGCTGCATGTTTGTATCCAAAAACTTTTCGCCATCGGCGCATGTATACCATATCTATCATGATCAGAACCTGATTTATCCAGCTTTATTATTTCAAGTTATTTTCAACATGACCATGAATGTTTGAGAGCTTGTGACCCTGACAGCATGCGCATGCATATTAACATGCATGATTTAATAAGAGAATTCCATTTCTGGCGCCATCTGAGCATCGCACGGGCTCTGACGCTCCCGAGGCACGAGTCCTCAGAGGTCCTCATGTTGAGATCAGATAAGAATTCTTTTCTGGATCCTGTTCATTCTCATTTTGACGATTAATTACAGATTACAGATATCTGAACCCTTTCTATGCCGCAACGCCTCGTTTTTGACATGTGTTCCCTCATCGGGGATGTCTGGAAGGAAAAAATTCTAGGCATTTCCACTAGCCAACAATTACTTGCCTCAGGAAACTGACTGCTGGAGCAATGAACCCTTCCTATATCCAGATGGGCGTAATAAACTCGCCGACTGATACTGTCAATGCATTATCCTTTACGATCGATGGACGTTATTTGGCCAGTGCCAGCGACGACAAGACGGTGCGGGTTCATGATATAGAATGTGGGTTGTCAAATGTTTGGGAACACAAAGGCGCCTACCCCTACACTGCTGTCGCGTGGAAAAACAACATCCTATTTATCGGTGATGAGGGAGGGGTGGTTATGTGTTCTTATCCCACCTTGGTGAGTTCCATTTTACGGTGGTTTGATTATATCTGAACGTGAACCGTAGAAATGGCCACATTGACGAGCAAATGAGGTCATACACGAAGCCTCTTCACCTGTCGCGGTTATGGAAATCAACGAGAGTGGTGATCGCCTCCTTGTCTGTTCGGGTGCCGACATTTTACTTTTCAAGAAACACAGTATGCTTTTTTACCTTGAATGCTTGTATGCTTCTTCATGAAAGTCATAGGTTCCGGAGCATGGCGATATACAGACCGCCTGCCACGCCCTGCATTTGGTGAGACTGAGAATTTTGTCCGACCTCCGACTCTAGCGACAGGCGTGCATTTCCTCAAAAATGATAATGAATGTCTTATTGGATATTATCACCATGGGTTTTGGTGAGGGGAACACTCTAAACTCAATGCGGACCTACTAGTAATATCATGTATTGTAGGAAATGCGACATTAATGCTTGGGAAACCACTTGTATTTGGGGTCCAGACGAGAAAATGTACGTTCTCTCCTTCTTAAAGGCAGTCAGTAGCTCAGGACTTTTATAGAGGGACTTCAGCTAAATCACCGGACTCGACTTCATTGGTGGCGACAAATATACGCAGTGGTCTGGATTGGTTCAGGAACACGTCTCAAGACTTCAAGAAAATCAGTACTTCGTCAGAAGTCCAAGAACTTAAATCCAATATTCCTCTTCTCACTCTCTTTATCAACGAAGGACATGCAGCGATAATGGGTACAACAAAGGGATACGCCGTGATATTTGACGCAAACCAAGGGCGAAGAATCCACACTTTGAAGCACGGAACGGGTGAGTCTGGCAAAAATGCATGATTTTTTTTGCCAATTTCCTCGCCTTTAGACCAGTCGTGGGTTACAGCCTTGGTGAGTGTTCACTGCTGCTTCTGTTAAACCTTCATTAATCCATCCTCAGGCTTATGTCGAATCTGTGCCACGTCATCGTCGAATGATTGCCACTGGAGATGGTAATTGTGGGCAGCATACACAAATCTTACTGTGGATTGAAGACAAGGGCACTCCCGCCAAGGTTCCTAGCAAGTTGTGGGTTGCTCTACCGAGACTTGTAGGGTGCATTCCTAGTATACATGACTACGTTATTGACACAGTATATAGGTCGCCGTAACTGTAACCGTTTCCCGTATAATTCTCGTAGCAATGGGTATAACCTTCGCATTATTGCTGTTATTCCCCTCACAATGGTCAGTGGACGATGTTTCGAAGATGCTAAGATCTCCTTCCTCCACACCTTCCTCTTCCTCCGCATCTTCCTACGCATCTTCTTCTTCCGTACCTCCTTCCCCTTTCCCGTTACCCGGTGGACACTCACTTCAGAAGACAAAATTCAAAGAAATACTGGAAAATTTGGGAGAGGTAATCCTGGTATGCGTCAGTTGAATCATTGGAATCTGTCAACTGATTCAGTTCGGCCTTAATAGCTATGATGCAAGGGCCATAGTATTGCTTCTAGAGTAGTTGTTTGTAATCTTCGCATATCCACCGCGGATGCACGGTGTTATTCAAACACGATGAATGTTCAACGGCAATGAATTCAGTGAAGTCAGTATATGTAATTGCAAGAATAGATGTTTGTCAATGTCTGCAGACCCTGGGGCCTGATCATCCGTCCCTTACATTCATGAGAGCATGACCGATCGAATAACATGTCATTCGGCTTTCGTACACTGCTAATAGTCGCAAGTATCCTGTTTGGCAATACACCGTAATTCTACTTAGTGTCCTCTATCATACCCGCTGTTCCTCCATCACATATGTTCGTGCATGATCACTCCCAAAGTAGTTCCATCTCTACCTCCTGCTCATCAACCCTATCTTCGAAGATGCTGCCTGTTTGGATAGTGTCCGATTCATTTGATGCAACTGCTTGCTCTTCCTTATGAAGCTCATCATCCTTAACCCAAGGAGCAGCCCCAACCACGTATGCATACGTTAAACGAATCTGCACTGACTTGATTAAAAGATCGAGTGTACAAAACTGCAACTTCAACTTACCAGCTCGATGATAGTTTTGATGATTAGCACCAAACCGAGGAACAAGCAAAAGACAAGTCCCATTATGATGATCAGCGTCCCCGCGTTATCCTCTAAGAAGTTGGAAAGCTCAAGAGAAGGCAGCGGTGGGTCGGTAGAGGTACCGTCGGTGATATAAAATGCAAGGATGATTTCGCGAAAAATTACGCGTGCAAGTGAAGTATTGGTTGAGGGTAACCATAGGTTGAGAGGAGTAGATATAGAAAATATGTGGGGATTTTAGTTTCCGAGTCTTTAAACAGCGCAAGTTAGAGCATTCCATTGATCGATGACTCGGGAGCGATAAGCCTGTGTGTTGGCCGGGTGTTGGACCGTGGAGAATATGACAAGCTACAGCCATGATACCAATGGGGAAAATCAATTGCGACCTAGTTCGAAATCAAAGAGGAATCATGACTCTGTTTTCATGTTTCAAGTTTCATTCAGGCCTCACCTTGAGCATGAGGTTGTATGACAATGTTCATGACCTAGAACACGCTGGATTAACAATTGGTATCATCATGATCTCTGGGGACCCAGATGAATTTCTAGATAATAATGGAAGAGGTTTTTTGGGAGCCAGATCTCTATGGTACAGCAATGTCATTTTTGTAAAGGGATATCTTCAATTCGAGCAAATCTATGGTTCCAATTGCATTCGAATTTCACTGTTTATTGATGGCTTCCATTCAGTGTTATTCAGTGGCACTGATCATCCACTTCCTCAAAAGGAACTAACGAAGTCTATAATGGAGATCTGGCGATCAGATCGGCTGTTATTCGATCAAGATCTAAGTGGTTGGACAAGTATACGCTGGGTATAATTGCTCCTAGCTGAACGAACGTATCCAAAGTCGAAATAGATTTTGCCTGGAGAGGCAGAGGATTCAGGAATACATCGACAGAGAAGCGAAGGGGAAGGGGATAAACTTGCGTTATCAATCCAGGGTCGAGCGACTGGTTTTAGGAACATGCTTTTTGATCCCTTTCAATCCATTTCTGTCAAGCTGTGGACGTGTTTTTGTCCAAGGTCAAGTTTGATCGAATTTGAGGCTTCTTTCCGGGCGAAAAATTTAACACAAGGCGAAGATAAATCATAGTCCGCGACCATTTTTACAAGTATTTTCTATGTATGGGGTTTGAAAATTCAAAACGAGGTGCGCGTAGAATAAAGCCGCTTCGTAGAAGGAAAAACCTGCTTCTTAGAGAAGATAAAAATATTCTGGATATAAGCTCGTGTTCAGAGCATGTCTTGCCTAT